ATATAACAAATGGGCGAGGTTAGTTACAGAGACGAGTCTCATGCGCTTTATGCTTCTTCCTTGTTTTCTCTTTCAATTTCTTGTTCATCAATTGCACGCTTCCGATTGTTGAGGATGTTTTGCTGTAATTGTGGTGGATTTGACTTTAATTTTTGTCTCTGTTTTGGTTTCAGAAAGTTAGTGCGAAGAATAACGGTGAGAAGAAGGCCAGCGATGCCGGTCAGAAGAAGGACGACGGTTCTGTCACCGTCGTTTTTAAGATCGATATGCATTGCGATGGCTGTGCTAAGAAAGTGAAACGCGCTGTGAAGCATTTGGAAGGTAAATATTGTTGGACTTAACGATTTTGAATCTCTTCCGAGTATTTTGTGTTTTTTTCCCCAATTTTCATCTACCTGTACTGGAAACGATTTTGTTCTTCTCGGCTTTCTTCTTTGGCGATTTTGTTCTCCACGATGCCTCGAAGTATATCACGAAGTAACGAATAATCCGGAATATCTCAGCCTCCTGCGATTTCATAATTTGATTGTGATGTTTTTTTTCTTGTTGATTTGATCAAATGTGATTTCGGATTAGGTTTTGTTTGAACTTTTTCAAATTTTGTTCGTGTAGTGGTTGGCTAATTGAAGGAATTTCCTCCTTGTTTGTAGGTGTGAGTGATGTGAAGGCCGATCCTGCATCCAATAAACTAACTGTTACTGGTAAAGTGGACCCTGCCTCGATCAAATCGAAGCTGGAGAAGAAGACCAAAAAGAAGGTTGAGATCGTCTCTCCTCAGCCTAAGAAAGATGGCGGTGGCGATAAGAAGGCCGATGAAAAATCAGAGAAGAAGGCCGACGGAAAGTCAGAAAAGAAGTCTGACGAAAAAGCGGAGAAGAAATCCGAAGAGAAAAAGGCAGACGACAAAAAGGCAAAAGAGGTAATACTAGAAATATTCAATATGAATCATCGTGTTTCTCTAGAACGCGCTTCTTGGCCTCATCTCCATTTTCAAGTTATATTTTCGAAGTAATTTTATAATCATTAGCGATTTCAGTACCAAATACTTGAAATAGCAACTAATTTTCGTTTCAATTTGTTTCTGGAACAGGGTACTGTAGTCTTGAAGATGCAATTACACTGCGAAGGTTGCATTCAGAAGATTAGGAAGGCAGTCATCAAATACAAAGGTGAAGAGATTTAACTCCGACTCAAAAATCAATTTCAATTGGAAGAGATTATACAATCTATAATAGAAAGTACTAACTCGACGTCTCTGAAATTTTATATAGGAGTCAATGGAATTACAATAGACGGGCAAAAGGATCTGGTCACAGTGAAAGGCACCATGGCCGGAAAAGACCTTGCAGCGTACCTCAAAGGCAAGTTCAATAGGTCCGTCGAAGTAGTTCCTCCTAAGAAAGAAGCAACCGCCGCTGCCGGTGACAAGAAAGAAAAGGACGCAAAAGTCGCCTCCAGCGGAGGAGACGGCGGTGGCGCAAAAATGGAGATCAGCAAGATGGAGTACAGCGGTTACTCATATCCGCCTTCAGCATTTTACTACGGCGGTCACGCCATGGATGCTCAGACGAGTTATCCAGTCCACGGCTTCGCAAATTCCAGCAGCTATTACACAAACCAGAATTACGTTAACCAAGGTTACGCGATGTACGACAACTCTCACGCGCCTCAGATGTTCAGCGACGAGAATCCAAATGCTTGTTCCGTCATGTGAGTGCACAGACATCCATCTGCTATAGCCTGACGTAATACATACGCTGTAAATGAATTAAAATCTTAGAAAGAAGAAGAAGAAGAAGAAGAAGAAGAAAAAGAAGAAGAATTAGATAAATCGTTTTTTGATTTCTGTTCTATTCTGGTATGCTGGCCGGCATCCCGGCCGATCTGCTGCGGCTAGTCAGTCCAATTCAATTCATTGGGGGAGTTGGTCCTTCTTTTTTTCATTATTTTAGTGTACTTTTTGTTCGGTTCAAATAACCGACATAATAATAGAGATCAGTATAAGATTTCCTTAAATGATTGTTGCCCACATTTATTATAGATTAAATTGTTTATACTTTTTTGGTTCAAGATAAGATTTAAGCTATGGCTTCCAACTCAAGGTGAGCATAGTTTAAAAATTATCATGCATTGACACATATCAACCAAAAAAAAATCTAAAAATTATTAACTCATCATGATAATTTACTGGGTGGGACTTCCCAACACCGCCTCGACAATTAGACATCCAACCCGTAATCGCAAGAGCTGAGCTCTATACCAATTGAGCTATATATCCCCCAAGCCAAATGGGACGTGTATGAAGGAGTCAAATGCTTCTTCTATTCTTTCTTTGTCGTCGTAGTTGGGCCATCCTGGACTTCAACTTGAGATCTCGCGCGATTCATCCTCACCGAACAGCAGCATATCTGGTTTAAAAACTATTTTGTATTTTTTTAAAAAAATTAAATTTTTAAGTACTATTTTCACCTATAAATTTCACCTATAATTTTTATTATTTAGTTATCTATTTTTTTTATATGAACAAGCAAATTTTAAAACAATAGCTTATTAAAAAATATGAAACATAATTTTTAAAATAAAAGACTAAAACCCAAATAGTCAAAAACAATCTTTCAATTATATTTTAGTCTTAAATCCCGAAGTCTTTCGCACTTAATTTTTATATTTCTATTTTAAAACAATTTCTTGTTATTTCACTGTTACCATTAAATGTGCATTAAATTTATAATCATTTTAATTTATAACAAATAAGTATTAGTATTTATTTTAATATCTTGTAATAATTTATTTTAGTTTATACAATTTTAACATTTTTGTTATGGTTATCTTGGTCAATATATGAATATTTCATTTGAAATTCGGATGAATATTTTACTTCTAGTCTTTTTTTTTAATAATGGTTGTAGTTCATAATTCAAACCCTACGTGGTGATTGTTTTGGGTTTGATTTTATTTCACTTTTTTTCCTATTTATTTTGACCAATAAACGCAAATGGATAAGGATGTAAGTTATTGATTTATTTTATTAAGATAATTTTGATTAAATTAGCCATTTAAAAATTTTAAAAATTATAAAAAGAGAGTGAAGATATCGTCCCCGAACTCATGGATTTGTAAGAGTTTCAAAACTTATATTTCTAGAAAGAGACCAGAGATTCATTGATCAAAGAATAAGCAACGGTACAAATTGACCATTTGAGACGGGCTATTGAAAATCTCTTTTGATATGGCTATGCATGAGAACGCCTTACATGACTCTTTTGATACAATTTCATCCAAATTCTAAGTTCATATAAAAAATGGAAAGAAAGTGATGCCACGGGATCTATCTTTTGACTTGGTCAAGAATATCGTTACCTTATTGCTCTCCCGATCAATGTAGATTTTTCAATATTCAAGTTTTAATGTCTGGTATCTTGATCATGAATTTTCTATGTCTAAAAGAAAAAAGTGTTAATGGACGAAAATATATTTGTTGAACTAAAACATTAACATTGTATTATTATTCCCATAAGCAAGTAGGCGTTGTAGGAGTAGTTCCATTAATGAAAATTAGTTAGATATAATTAGCTTATTGAAAGTTCAAATATCAACTTCAAACCACTTTGCATAAGAAGGAAGAAAGGAAAAGTGACCGTACAATTTAGACTATTATTATGATGTTCAATGTGCATAAGTTAATTCGAGATTATTCTAGATTCAATGAAAACATAGTTGAAGACGAATTATAAACTATGATTTAAAGCTTCCCATAGCAAAATTATTTGAATTGGGTCTACATTTACATGACCAACCCGTCTCAATTTAATTCACAATACATTTTCGTAAGCTTCAGTGCAATTTCTGATGTACATCCTAACGACAAACCTTCTCCCAACTCTCGTTCGACTCTATCCGAAGCGTAAAGTTCACAATAACATTTGTTTACCACATCAAATAGTGGAACAAAAAGAAAATATTGATCCGGTTGAGATCTGTCATGAAGATTTGGTTCATGAATCTTTTGAATTCATGAATACTTTTGGTATTTTTCTTCCTTAGATTCATGTAACTAATGGATTAATTTAGTTCATCTCTCATATTGATGCATTCTCCCACATCGGTACATGAATAATTTTGATTCATAAATGAGGATTAATATTACTATGTCTATAAACGTTTGTCTAGCATTGTTATGAGATATAGAGTTAGTGTCATTTTATATTTGCCTAGAGGCAATTGGGAGGAATTGTGTGAGAGAGACTTTGTAGTGTGAGAGTGTGAGATATGTACTTGTAAACACTTTGGTTATTGTGATGGACTACCACCCATGGATATAGAGGAATTTATTCTTTCTGAACCACGTAAATCTTTGTGTCTCTTTGTTTATTTTTGTTTATGGGGGTTATTCATCGCTACGCTCCAAATGAGCCTCTCCCTATTGCAATCTAAAGAACTAAAACCCGAAACTTTCGCTGAAGAATTCGAAGAGGCAGTTTGATGCCAAAAGACATAGAAGAAGGCCATTTTGTTGTATCTGCAGCGGATGGTGATGAGAAAGAGATTGTCATTAATTTGGATTTATTGTCTGACCCTACATTTTAAGGCTATTGTGAGTTGGGAAAGGAAGAATATGAATCCTATTGTGAGTTGGGAAAGGAAGAATATGGATCCTAACACAAGGGAGCTCTAAAATAGTCCTTTGGGTTGGATGATAAAAGTCTCACATCGGCTAAATTAGGAAATGATCATGACTTTATAATCAAGGAATACTATCTCCATTGGGATGAGTCCTTTTGGGGAACCCCAAAGTAAAGCCATGAGAGCTTATGCTCAAAGTGGACAATATCATATTATTGTGGAAAGTCGTGTTCATCTAACACCTTATAAGCTTGAGGAACTGCAGAGTAAAATGGGAATTGGATTGCACCTAGTAGTGCTCATATCATAACTATCAGGCAACTAAAAAGTTGCACCTACATTTTTTTCACTTGGTTTCTACACAGCTGAGATACAAATGTCTACGCAATGAATCAAATTCCTTCATATCTTTTCTTTTATCACTATTGCCAGTGCTCTTTTCGCAAGTAATAGACTTACACCACATTCTTGAAAAGGGAAAAGAACAGGATTTCATTTAAGACATGCAAATTGCAGCAAGACAAGGCTATATATAATGCAACATTGGCAGAACATCCAAATATAGTTTAAAATACTTACAAAATTGTTTGATGCTGTTATTTTATCTCAGAACAGTTATTTGGCCCAACTGGTTCTTTCAAGCAATTAGATATTGCAATGACAGCTGATTCAATAGACGCATCTTCACCCTGTTTAAGTCACCAGATTGATAATATGAGATTCTGATTATGACCATATTTTAGTGAACATAGAAAAAGCTCACTACTGTCGGATATTTTAAGAATAAATTGTTTAGCATCTACTATAAATATCCCTCCAACCTACCAAGGTTTTCATCCCAAGAAATCTAAAGCACAGAGTGCAATAGTTTCGATCTCTTTTTTATTAGTGTTAATAAAGAGTTGTGTTCAACAGTATCTATTGGAGACGTTACCTTCTCTTTCCAATAAAATATGTTTCCATACTTTCCAGCCAAACGGCTCCAAAAGCTCCGTGGAATGTCCAAATCGACAGATGCTCCGACATTGAAGTTCAATATGTTACCTGAATGAAGATATCAATAGAATGTCATTGTCATCAAAGACATATGGGGAGGAAAGTGTCCTAACATTGTGCATACCAAATGTAGGATCGGCAACAAACACAATTGTTCTATCATCCACTTGCCAGAAATCTTTGATTGCCAGCCCTGTGAAAAGCATTACATTGTTTGTTTCTGCCGATTAGATTGGAAATCATAGCTCAAGAAGCTTGACATATGTGTGTGTGTGAGAAACATTCAAAGTTTATGAAGCATTAATAAATTGAAGTTACGCTTAAACATACAATTTTCTAGTAAGATTCAGTCAATGTATCTTATAACATTTAGTGATGAAGTTCTCAACATTAAAACTGAGCAATTCAATAATCTGCTGATTGAACAATGCGTTTTAAAAGCGTGGGAGTAGCAGAAATCTTGAAGACAATAGGAAAGTGTTTTGATTCCTGATACAAGTTGCTGAAAGATGAAGACGATAAAACATAGAACAAACCTGGTGTCACAGGATAATTTTGAGCCAAAACTCGCAACTTATAACCAGTATCCTTCTCAATGTCAGCAATTTCTTGTTTCAGCCTAATTTCCTGTTCATAGAAAATCAGAAACAGCAACGGCCACATGATGAAGATCAAATACACAAAAAATACATCAAAGAACACAACAAAAAGAAAACAAATGATGAAGCAAAGCAACCACACCTGACCGTCAGATAGAAATCCAGCAACATCAATGACAGAGGTGAACTCCTTGGGAAGCAATTCTGGTTTGTTAACCCCAACTATAGCGTCCGCAAATCTAACTCCTACGAGGCACGCTCACTGAATTACTGTTAACATCGATTAAATCCAAACTTTCTATAACAAGGTAGAGACAATTCCATCATAATGTCCGACCTAATTTCATAATCTAAACAATGAATCCCGAAACAGCTCACAGAACTCAACATTCTTTATTCATCTTAACTATGATAACTTGCAAAAATGAATGATTACCAGAGATAGCTATTCCGAGCGCGAGAGCTCCAGAAAGCGCGAAACTCAGAGATTTTTGGGGAAAACGAAGAAGCCAGTTGATGCAATCAGTTGATTTTTTGGACGGAAATGATGGCGTATACAAGCAAGATAATGATCTGGAAACCGACGGTGAAGCCTTCGAGAATGAGAGAGACGGCGATGGAAGAAGATGATGATGAAGATGCATAAACGCCATTATTGAATTTTTCTGGATGCTCGTTGCTGTGTTTGTGCCTAAGATTTTGGATAGACTAGGTGTTCTAGATATCAAGTTTATGCAAAACTGTGCCTCTCACTATTGAGGACATATTCTATTTATATTGGCAAAAGATTAACTAATAGATCCGATTTCATAGGAAACTAACGAAGTAAGCCTATTCTTATGGCATGACCAACTTCAAGCTATTCTAATGGATTGACCAATTCTAACAGTCCCCTTCAATCCCAACAAGTCTTGTACATGTTGAGATTGTTACAATGTGTAGTAAAAGGAGTTTTAGACAGTGGTTTTGTCAGGATATCAGCTACTTGATCACTTGATGAAATGAACCGAACTTCCATTGCTTTACGTGCTACTTGTTCTCGAACAAAATGAAAATCAACTTCAATATGTTTCGTTCTAGCATGAAATACTGGATTTGAAGTTAAATATGTAGCTCCGAGGTTGTCACACCAGAGGCGAGGAGCCTTTGATTGATACACGCCCAGTTCCTTCAGTAATGACTTGATCCAAATCATTTCTGCAGTAAGATTCGCAATGGCCTTGTATTCTGCTTCGGTGCTTGATCTTGACACTGTAGCCTGTTTTCTGGAACTCCATGAGATTAGATTTGCTCCAAGAAATACAGCAAAGCCGCTAGTTGAACGTCGATCATCGGGACAACCAGCCCAATCAGCATCAGAAAACCCCGACAACATCATGGTTGATTTCTGAATTTTCACTCCTAATGCTAGTGTGCCTTTAACATAACGAAGAATTCTCTTCACAGCACCCCAATGAGCATCAGTAGGTGTATGAAGATATTGACACACTTTATTGACAGCAAATGCCAAATCAGGCCTAGTCATTGTCAAATATTGTAGTGCTCCCACTGTACTTCTGTATTTGAATTGTTCTTCAGCTGATAAGGGTATTCCTTGTTCTCTGAATAATTTTTCAGCAGAACCCATTGGTGTAGACATAGGTTTGCATTTTTCCATGTTTACTCTTTTCAACAAATCTAAAGCATATCGTCTCTGTGACAGTATGATACCATCTCGTGTTTTCTTGACTTCAATACCCAGAAAATACTCAAGATCACCCAAATCTTTTACTGCAAAATCTATTTTCAATTTCTGAATCAACCTTTCGGTTGCTTGATCAGAGGAGCTCACAATAATTATATCATCAACATAGATGAGCATATAGATAGTTATCTCTCTGTTTTTGAGAATAAAAAGAGATGAATCAGCTACTGAAGCCTTGAAGCCTAACTCAATAAGCTTTCCAGTCAACCTTGAATGCCAAGCTTTTGGGGCTTGTTTCAGGCCATAAAGGGCTTTCTTGAGCTTGCATATGTAATTCTTTGGTTTGGCTGAGTCTTGAAATCCTGGTGGTTGTCGCATGTACACTTCCTCTTTCAGAATTCCATGCAAAAATGCATTTTGGATATCAACTTGTCTCATATTCCAGCCCTTGGTTACTGCTAGCGAAAGAATGACCCTGATTGTTGACGGTTTGATCACAGGGCTAAAAGTATCAGTGTAATCAACACCAAATCTTTGCTTGAATCCTTTGGCAACTAATCTTGCTTTTAATCTTTCAACTGACCCATCTGCTTTTCTTTTCACTTTATACACCCATTTACTATCAATGAGATTTATTCCAGGTTTGGGTGGAACTAGATCCCAAGTGGCATTTCGTTTTAGCGCTGAGAGCTCATCATTCATTGCTCCTCTCCATCCTGGATGTTGCATGGCTTCCTGCAGGTTTCGAGGTTCAGTAGCAGTCTCTATGATCGGAGTTGTGATAGTTACAGCGCTTGCGAATTTTCTTGAGGTTTCTGAATATCTGATAGTTCCATCAGTGAATTGTTTAGCTTGTACAATGTTATTTCTCAACCTTGTTCGCATTGGATGTTGACTAGCTGCTTCAGTTGGTTGATCAGACACATGTTCATGAGTTTGGTTTTGAGCATTGATCGAACTGCTCTCAGCTTCATATTCTGCAATTTCCTCTGAACTTCTTGTATTATCTGCAGAAGATAAGCTGACACCAGACAAGTTGTCACTAGCAATATTATCAGTTTGACCATCATTCATATGGGAATTACTAACAACTGGTTCAATATCTGTAAGAGCATTTTCAGTGTAAAAACTAGCAAGTTTGGCTAAGGCTGGAAGTAGAACAGGATGATGTGGATTTGTGGTTTTGTTTGGTGGCTTAGATTCTTCAAAAGGAAAAATATTTTCATCGAAAACCACGTCTCTAGAGATGTAAATACGTCCTGTACTTCTATTTAAGCATTTATATCCCTTATGAGAAGAACTATAACCCAAGAATATACATCTAGTAGTTCTGAAACTCAGTTTCTTGTTGTTGTAAGGCCTTAAATTAGGCCAGCAAGCACAGCCAAACACCCTAAGCATGGAGTAGTCTGGACTTTTACCAAACAATTTATGAAGTGATGTGTCTTGTTGTATGGTTCGGCTGGGCATTCTATTTATAAGAAAGCAAGCTGTGTTGAAAGCTTCATCCCAGTAGGATAGAGGCATGTTGGCTTGAGCGAGTAAAGCAAGGCCAGTTTCTACAATGTGTCTGTGTTTTCTTTCGACTAACCCATTCTGCTGGTGTGTGTGAGGACAGGAGATATGATGTTCAATGCCTGTGGATTTGAAATAATTGTGTAACCGATGGTATTCACCCCCCCAATCTGATTGGACGGAGCGAATTTTGGTATTTAGCATAGTTTCAACATGTTTTTGAAATTGAAGGAACACAGACTCAACATCAGATTTGCATCTCAGAAAGTAAATCCAAACATAACGACTAAAATCATCAACAAAGGAAACATAATATTTGGAATTATTTACTGACGCAATGGATGGACCCCATACATCAGTGTGAATTAATTGAAGGGGTGCTGTAGATGCATGCTGAGAAGAACCAAATGGCAATTGATGTGCTTTCCCTAATTGACAAGCATTACAAATTGAGGAAGAGGGAATATTAGTATCTATAGCTAAATTATTATCTTGTAGAATTCTAATGGTAATTGGAGATGCAGGGTGCCCTAGCCTTCTGTGCCATTGTTCTTTCGAAAGTTTGGCTGTCAGCAAGGCTTGACTGAAATTATGCGGTAGAACGTATAGGCCATTCTTACATCTACCGTGGAGCAGGAGTTTCTTCGTGACTCGGTTCTTAACCAAAAAATAGTTTGGGTGAAATTCTACAACAGCATTATTATCAGATGCTAGTCTTTGTACTGAAATTAGGTGCTTATTGATTTTAGGAGCATATAGGATATGTTTCAGAACAAGAGATGAACCAGAAATTAATGAATTCCCAATATGAGAGATAGACAAACCTGCGCCATTTGCAACCTGAATTTGGTCGGTGCCAGTGTAGCGTTCTCTGGTGGTAAGCCTCTCTAGGTCATTGGTGATATGATCTGTGGCTCCAGTGTCAACATACCAGTTTGTGTCACTAGTGTATCCACTAGTTGCCAAAGCTGCTTGTTTGAGATTATTTTCGGCTTGATATGCCTGATCAAATCTGTGCCAGCATTGCAAAGCATCGTGATTGGGCTTACCACAAATCTGACAGACAATGCCTGAGCTGCTTTGTGTCTTTGATGGTTGACGTCCAGGATTGTTCACAGTACGCCTTGATTGTCCATGACCACTATTTAACTGACGACTACGACCGCGACTACCTCGACCTCCATTGGCACCTCCACGAATGGATATCCTATTGACATTGTTAGCAGATGAAAGTTGCTCAAATGTACCCTTACGCAAGTGCCGCATCTCATAGCTCAGCATGTGAGCATACACGTCGCTGACAGTGTATACATCTGTTCTGGTTGTAATGCTTGTGACTAGAGGATCATAATCTGGACCAAGTCCTTGCAGCATGTAGGCGATGAGTTCTTCATCCTCTATTCGCTTGCCAATGGCAGCAAGTGTATCACCAAGATGTTTTACTTTACGAAAGTAGTCAGCAATTGTCATGTCCTTTTTCTGGATAGTAGAGAGTTCCATACGGATCTGCATTGCTCTTGCTCGAGATGTGGAAGCAAATTGTCGCTCCAGCGTAATCCAGGCTTCTCGTGCAGTGGTGATTCCAACCATCGTGCTGAGAACCTCCTCAGTGACTGATGAGTTGATGAGGCTGAGTACCAGCTGGTCCTGGGGGTACCAGACTGTGAACTCAGGGTTGATGATAATTTTGCGATTCCCTGTTTCTTCACTTGGTTCAACGGCGATCGTCTGGCTTGGTGCAGGCATGGATCCATCCACAAAACCAACAAGGTTTTGGCTACGCAAGTAGGGAAGGATTTGGGTAGACCACAGTAGATAATTTTCTTGTGTAAGCTTAACACTAATCACCTGACTGATCGACGGAGAAGACATTGTGTTGATTGGGATTGACATGTTTAACAGCAGAGGCTATGGATCTCGTGGATCTTATTTGGGCTCTGATACCATATCAAGTTTATGCAAAACTGTACCTCACACTATTGAGGACATATTCTATTTATATTGGCAAAAGATTAACTAATAGATCCGATTTCATAGGAAACTAACGAAGTAAGCCTATTCTTATGGCATGACCAACTTCAAGCTATTCTAATGGATTGACCAATTCTAACACTAGAAAGTGAAGATGGAGGAAAGAGATGATTTAATTTGCAAATAAAATAATTTCCACATTTAATTTATTACAAAAATGCTCAAAATTTCTATTTTATTTTTAATACGTATTTGTGGTTGGGAAGTAGAATCAAACACCCTTGTAACCATATAGAAACCTTTCCCTAACAAACGCGTTTTAAACCCTTGAGGGAAGACCCAAAGACAACAATATCTACTAGCAGTGGGCCTGAGGCGTTACAAATGGTATCACAGCCAAGCGCGTGGGCGATGTGCCAACGAGGAGGCTATTCCCTAAAGGGGTAGACACGAGGTGGTGTGTCAGTAAGAACGCTGAGCTTGGAAGGGAGGTGGATTTTCCCAAAAAGGTAGACATGAGGGAAAGCACGACGATAACAGATAGAAATTTTTTCTAGTTCGCATAAAAAAAACATTAAATATATTTTGGTCATGTATTTTAAGTTTTTAATATTTAAATTTAGTTCTTATATTTTTAATGCTTAAAATTAGTTAAGAAAAATTAATTTTTAACTAAGAATCAAGAGAGCTGAGTGGGCTTTACAAAGGCCCATACGGAAGGCCCAAAATGAAAATAAATCAGACAAAACTCCGTTAAAAAAAAAAAAAAATGTTTCTTCGATGCTATATAAATACATGCATCATCACATCTCTCAGTTTATTCATCGATCTCGTTTTCTCATTCTCTGGTTTTTTTTTTTTTTCCTCTTCAAAAAATTTCTTTCCTCATCGATCTCTATTTCCAAGGGTCTTTTGCCGGGGTTTATCCATTTTCCTCCGTCAAATTTCTTTTATCCATTTTCGTTTGAATTCTTGGATTCCCTTCATCTCGCTGACTTCCTGTAAACCCTAACGATCTTCTTCTTAGGGTTTTAATTTTGTTGTTCCATCCTGGAGTCTCCTCGGCTTTGAAGTATTTGTGTTAATCGAAGATTCCATATCACTTGTTGGAAAGCTCGGGGGAATCTGTGCTTTTCTTGGCTAATTTTGTGAGTTTCTTCAGGCTTACTGGTTCGTCATTTTGAATTTTCGATAGACCTGCTTCTTTCGGTTTGGTTTTGAAGTCTCTGCAATTACGGGTCTCAGAGGGAGGGAATCCTTTTCTCCCCCGCGGACTTTCAAGGAACTACTGGCCTGCTCTTTCAATTTTGAATTTCGAGCGCGTTTTTTCCCCTCATTTGGTATTAATAGGCCAGATGAGAGCGGTTACTTTTCTGATATGACGTTTGATTGGAAGGTGTTTGATTTTAGTGCTTAGTAATGGGGTGAATCACGCAGGCCCAGTGAAAGCTAAATGACTCGAGGATTTGAATATGAGCCATGGAGGTGGAAAAATTACGAGAGAGATTGAAAATCAGGTGGATCGTTTTAGAAGAGCTGGAGCTGATGATTTTGGGCGAGCGGCGTCGAAGATTGCAGCAGCACAGATATGCCAGAGTCTGGGATTTCAGGGATCGAAGGAGTCTGCTTTGGACACGCTGGCGGAAATTGTAATAGTGTATCTTAGTAACGTGGGAAAGATGGCGAGTTTCTATTCTAACTTAGCTGGAAGAACTGAGTGTAATGTGTTTGACATTGTTAGAGGACTTAAAGATTTAGAAGCACTTGGGTCTAGTCAAGATGCTGAGGTTAGCCGTTGTCTTGCAGGTTCAAGGTCAATTCAAGAAATTTTGGAGTATATGTATTCGGTACAAGAAATTCCATTTGCTCAGCCAGTGCCGCAGTTTCCAATTATTAAGAACTGCAACGTGCTGCCGAGTTTCATTCAAATGAGGGAAACACCTCCTAGTAAACATATACCCAATTGGCTACCTGCTTTTCCTGATTCCCACACTTACATTTATACGCCAGTGTGGAATAAGAGAACAACGGACCCTCGCACCGACAAGATTGAGCAAGCAAAGCAGAGGAGAAAGGCAGAGAAGTCGTTGTTAAGTCTGCAGCAGCGGTTGGTTGTTGATACTGGCAATATAAAGGAAGAATTACCTATTTTGAATAGTAACACATCCCATGATTCAGAATTGAAACCGAGGAAGGATGCTGTTTCTGTGGCCAAATTGCCTCTTAAACATTCAGATCATGTGTTTGATGACAGTGGTTCTGTGTTAGAGGCATTTGCTCCGGTCATAGAAGCTGTTAAAGGCAGTGGCTTTTATGACGACGAAGAGGGTGAGAAGAAGGATCTTCCCACTATTAGGCATCCTGTTCAATTTAAGTTCAAAACTGGGAAGAAGCTTCTTGGTGATTCTTTGGATTTGAACATTCAAAAGAAAGGAATTAGTAGAACAACAGTCTTGGTTGGACGGTATGATGAAAGGGATGATAGGAAACGAAGAGCTGAATACATTCTTAGGAAGTCTATGGAGAACCCGCAAGAACTCAATCAGTTGTGAATAAATATATTGACTGGCGTTAGTATTTAATCTAGGTATTTGGTATTAGCTGGTGCAATTGTTTCTTTAGTTAACAGCATATCTTCCTTGTAGTACGGCAATTCTTGTAATTTACATTGAGTTCCTTGTATTTCTACTCAGGATTTTTTCGGAGATGCAAATGCTTGTGAAAATTTTATCGAGAAGGTCTCAGTCTCGCGTCTCTTTTCATCTCTCACATTGTGTTTTCAACTGTTTGTTCTGTTGTTGAGTTGTGATATTGAATCTTTTGGCTCCTTGGTTTGTGAACTTTGTAGTCAAAGTCCAATTTCCCTTTTTGCAGTATAAAATGCATACAAGAAAGGAGGATGTTGAATTCAAGCTTAATGAAACCATGAAACTACCGGATTTCTTTTTGCAGGGAAAGTACTGAAAGGTGGCCATTCTTTGCAGCTTCTGGATTGGTGCTCTCTTCTTGTCTTCTGATGAACCTGCTTGAACTGCAGGACCAAAGATTTTTTTATTTTTTCTTCATGGCACAGGTATGATTCGAAGGTTACTATTTCTCTATTTTACTGCTTTCAGATTTGATTTATGCTTTTTATGACTTAGATTTACCAAATCTGATCTTCCCTAGGAAACCTACTGAACGTTTCTGAATGGTATGATTTGTCCTTGAGAGTAAAACATTAAGCTGCAGCTAAAAAGATATCAGAACCTAGTTTGGATATTGTAACCTTGATTTGTCTCGAGAGAACAGTCGAGATGTGTGCAAGTTAGTAAGAACGCTCACAGATACAAAATAAAATAACGCGGCCTTAGACCTGCATCATGAATGTTCTTTGTAAAAGCACGAGGAATTTAGATAGTTGGACACTTTACTTTTATCATATCTGTTAAGCAAAAGGAGCGGCAAGAATGAGCCAAAAGGAGTTATAGCTGTTGAAGTACTGTAAAATCTCGCATATTCCTGTGTTTTATTATTGTTCTTTCAACTGTAATGCTCAAATAATGTGTTTGTTTGTTTTCTTCCTCAATGTTGTCTGGAAGGTGAATTGATCGACCCGTTTAATGTTCGATTTTGTGAAGTTGGATAAGGATAGGATTTGTGATACAAGTTTCAAAGTTGTGTGTCTATGGAATTTTTTCTTTTTATGTTGCTTTCTGCTGTGTTTTCTTAGAACAAACATCCTTGCTTTATACCCTGACTACTTTGTTGGAGGCTTTTTGATAAATTAAGCATGGAATGTCATGCTACAAAATGGTTCCTGAGCTGACCCTTTGCGACAAGCATGTCGATCCTACCGAAAAACAGAAATTTAAGTTATGCCTTGTTGTCCAATCCCCATATGTCGACCTTGTCAAGTTTCAAGTGGGAAATGTTTTGAATCTGAGTCTCTTTTGAGTCGAGTCGAGCTTGATTGAACAGTTAAACTTATTTGGATTTTTTCTTATAAACTCGTTCATAAATATGTGGCTTGTGTGCACGTTCATATGACAAATAGAAATTGTACGGTTAACTATTTGGTTTTTTGTTTTGGAAATTTGTGCATATTTTCTCGTTAGGACGGTGTACAATGGGGTTCATTAGTCATAGCCCTACACATTTGAATCCTTGAACAATAGGAACTAAAATTTTAGTAAAAGTGTCTCAGTGTGATCTTCGAAATTTTATATCCAGAAAGTGTACATGAAATTCATTTGATCAATAGAACTACCTTGTAATACTCGTGTGGACTTCCAATATAAAATTTACCCAATGGTTAAGAGTATTAGTTCATCGTCGTTGAACATGAGCATAATCCCATAGTTAGAGTATTGGTAACCTTCTAAAAATGTAAGTTACTTGAGCAGAGATTAATTAATACTAATTAAAGTATTAATTTGAATTTTAGGTTTCTTTCCCCCTAATCTTCATTTTTATCTTTGTTATTATTTGAACTACCAAGACTATATCATGGGCTGCATTGGAGAGTGTGCCCTCTCATGATAGAACATTCTGGATTTATCTGAGAAGAAAATAAATAAATAAATAAATAAAATTAAATATTATTTATAATTATATTAATGGATAATTCTAGAGATTCAAAAGTCAAAGCAATGAGAAAATCATTGAGATGCCTTCGTGTTGATGGTATGTTGGTAGTCATACAAAAAAAAAAAAAAAAAAAAAAATTTTTTNAATTCAAAATTAAATAAGAATAATAATAATAATAAAGTAAAACAAGTTTTTTAAAAATATTTATATGAGATTAAATTGATATTGTAAAATTGTACCGTTATGTCCGAGTAATATGTTGAGTGAAAGATTCAGGCATTTGACCTTTTAATAGAAAACGAGTTGTGTTAATGTAGTAATGTCTGAGTGAAAGATTCGAGCATTTGACATTTTGAAGGTGAGTTACGTTCGTCCAATATAATGAATGAAAAATTCAAGCATCTACCCTCTTAAGAGAACGATAATAGAACGCGAGTTATGTTCATGCAATATATTGAGTGAAATATTCGAGCATTCGACCTAAGGTATAAAAAATTAAATATTCTAGAACTAAGTAAGAAGTAAAAATAAAAATAATAATAATAAAAAAAAGAATAAAAAGAAAAGGAAAAGAACAACGGACCTTTTCTTTCTTAACAAGAAAAGGAGCAATCAATGGCATAAATATCATATCCCGACCTTTCTATACTCAGATCTCTCCATATACGTTCTATCGCCATTTCTCCTCTGATTTTGTTGTCTCTGCAACAACTCAGCCGCCTCTTGTCTTCTGCTCGGCCATCGACATGGCGAATCAAGCTGAATCCTCCGACTCGTAAGCCCTCTCCCCAATTTCCTAGATCCCAATTTCAATTCTTCTTCATTTCGTGTTTTTCCGATGAGTAATTTCTGTTCTGATTGTGCGTTTGTTGCCTGATTATGCTGTCAATGCGTTTTTTTTTTTTTTTTTCCTTTCTTCCAGTAAGGGTACCAAGAGAGATTTTAGTACTGCGATTCTAGAGCGCAAGAAAGCCGCGAACCGGCTTATTGTCGATGAGGCCGTCAATGATGACAACTCGGTGGTTGCGCTTCACCCTGATACTATGGAGAAGCTTCAACTCTTCCGTGGCGATACGATCTTGATCAAGGTATGATTTTATTCTCGTTTTTATGTATCAGTTTATCATTTCCTGGACGTATTTATTTGTTCATTGAGCTAGGTTTTTTACAATGTTTTGCCCTAAGTGATGTTGCAGAATTTTGTAGGATCGGGGAGGTTTGCTCTTCCCTTTTTGGATTGTGTGTGTGTGTGTCTGTGTGTGTGTTGAAGAAAATAAAATTTTATAATTTTAGACTAACTAGTGGTTCCATTTGGTATTTCGGGTCCGTTAATTGAGGGCGTTTTGATTTTTGGAGTAGAGGGCGTCATTAGTTCTTCTAGGCGGCATTTTCTTTTTGAGTTCGGAAAGTTTGATATTGTGGACTTTGTGGTTGTTATGAAGTTTGGGTTGGGTTTACATAGCTTGTGGTTATACCATAGAAATGAATGAGTTATAGAAGTTTATGTAGCTTGTGTGTTGATTTGCAAGTTGTGAGTTTGAGATTTATAGAAGTTATTGGAAGCCTAGAAGACGAGTTTCATTAAACTGTGCTATTCTGAAGTTTTTAGTGATGAGTTACCACAACTCTCCATTTTGGCAGAAGACTACTTAAACAATTTTGTCTGCTATGTACATCATTGCCAGATCTTGAAATATTGTTTTTGAAATTTGATCAGGAGGAATTGTGGACTTTTTAGGCGGCATTTTCTTTTTGAGTTCGGAAAGTTTGATATTGTGGACTTTGTGGTTGTTATGAAGTTTGGGTTGGGTTTACATAGCTTGTGGTTATACCATAGAAATGAATGAGTTATAGAAGTTTATGTAGCTTGTGTGTTGATTTGCAAGTTGTGAGTTTGAGATTTATAGAAGTTATTGGAAGCCTAGAAGACGAGTTTCATTAAACTGTGCTATTCTGAAGTTTTTAGTGATGAGTTACCACAACTCTCCATTTTGGCAGAAGACTACTTAAACAATTTTGTCTGCTATGTACATCATTGCCAGATCTTGAAATATTGTTTTTGAAATTTGATCAGGAGGAATTGTGGACTTTTTAGGCGGCATTTTCTTTTTGAGTTCGGAAAGTTTGATATTGTGGACTTTGTGGTTGTTATGAAGTTTGGGTTGGGTTTACATAGCTTGTGGTTATACCATAGAAATGAATGAGTTATAGAAGTTTATGTAGCTTGTGTGTTGATTTGCAAGTTGTGAGTTTGAGATTTATAGAAGTTATTGGAAGCCTAGAAGACGAGTTTCATTAAACTGTGCTATTCTGAAGTTTTTAGTGATGAGTTACCACAACTCTCCATTTTGGCAGAAGACTACTTAAACAATTTTGTCTGCTATGTACATCATTGCCAGATCTTGAAATATTGTTTTTGAAATTTGATCAGGAGGAATTGTGGACTTTTTAGTGAGAATCCCAGGGTTTATTTTTTTGGATGAGAATCTTGTGGCCGAGTACAAAATTGTTCTGAGGATAGTTTTCTGTTTTCTTTTGGAAACTTATTCTGATTGGACGACTTATGAAGTCAATGTTATTGTACACGGAGCAAATTTGTAATTTAGGAAGAAATAGTAACTTCATTATTGCTATTATTTTGGTAAAACAAATCATTAGTGTGCATGCTAACAAAAAACAGCTTTATCAAACCGTTATCTAAAATGTTCGTACAAGATTTTTGTTCTGCAAAAACGGAACTGTCTAAAATCAGTCCTTTGGGTTTCTTTTTCCCTAGCTTCTAATTGGAACAAAAGACTTCTAGAACTATCTTCCTTTTTTTCTGATTCCACCCAATTAGATAGTATTTTAAGATCTCCTTTGTTCTTGGAAGGGGATGGACTTCGCTTCCTTCCCTTTTACTCTTGTCCATTTTGGGATCTTAGGAACTTCTTCCTAGGAAAAAAATGTAGCTTTCTCATACTCACAGCTTGAGATCGTTCTTGAATGGCATGCAATATTTTGTTTGTAACTGTATCTTTTGTCTTCCTTCTGGAGTTCAGGGGAAGAAAAGGAGGGATACAATCTGCATTGCTCTTGCTGATGATACATGTGATGAACCAAAAATAAGAATGAACAAGGTTGTGAGAAGCAACCTTCGGGTGAGGCTTGGAGATGTTGTTTCCGTGCATCAGTGTGCTGATGTTAAATATGGAAAGCGGGTACACATTCTTCCAGTAGATGACACTATTGAAGGTGTCACTGGGAATCTTTTTGATGCATACTTAAAACGTGAGATTCTATCCGACCTATTTCTTTCCATTGATTTGTCTTTTGCTTATTGTATGTTATAATTTCTGGCAATGTGTCAAGACGTTCATTTGATCCCTCCCCTTTCCCAATTTATTACATGATTGACTAAGTGTTTTTTTTTTTTCAATTGACTTTTTAGAATAATGCTCGTACATTACCTTTTCGACCATTTTTAGTTATTTGGTTTATGGAAACATTTTTGTTGTGACTTGTGATACTTGATATTGCAGTCCGCTCATGTGCTTTTCGTTTATGTTAAGTACTGTGCAGCAGTTCCTCCATGCTTCTTTGTATGTTTATCATTGGCGTACAGTGCATTGCCGGGAAGCAGCTTTTGTTTATCACTATTTTTTGATGTGTGTTTATCACTATTTTTTAAAATCTTGAGCAAATTCCTTTATACATTTAAAATTTGGTGTAAACCAATTTTGTCTTCCCCAATCCTCTGTTTGCATCCAAATGTGTCTTTTCTCTTTTACATATTTTAATTGAAACGGGTTCAACTACTTGACGGTACCTGTTATGGTTTTCTTTGATTTTCAAAACTTTTAATGCACTTTCCTAATTAATAATATGCATATTTGCATGTCTTTGGTACATAGCTTTAGATAGATCTTCGACAAAGGTAGATAACTTTTCATATGTTTAACATTTGGTCAAATTTAAGCATAGATTTTTTTTCAACACACTGAAGTGCATATTTCTTAGTTCTTATATTGTTCATATCATGCAGCTTATTTCTTGGAGGCCTATCGCCCAGTGAGGAAGGGTGATCTCTTCCTTGTGAGGGGAGGAATGAGAAGTGTGGAGTTCAAGGTTATTGAAACTGATCCTCCTGAGTATTGTGTGGTTGCTCCCGACACCGAAATCTTCTGTGAAGGGGAGCCTGTGAGAAGAGAGGATGAAGATAGGTTAGATGAGGTTGGTTATGATGACGTTGGTGGTGTTAGAAAACAAATGGCACAAATCCGTGAATTGGTGGAACTGCCACTGAGACATCCACAGCTTTTTAAATCCATTGGAGTAAAGCCACCTAAGGGAATTCTGCTTTATGGACCCCCTGGATCTGGAAAGACCTTGATCGCCCGAGCTGTAGCTAATGAAACTGGGGCTTTCTTTTTCTGTATCAATGGACCAGAGATTATGTCGAAGTTAGCTGGAGAAAGTGAAAGTAATCTTAGGAAAGCTTTTGAG